TTTCCAGAAAATCCAGAAGTTTCAGAGCTGTTGGTTTTTTAGAGCTAACAGTTAGAAGCAGTTAGAAGCATTAATGGCTGTCATGCATGTTGTGTTTATCTCCAGCTCATGCAGGCTGTGCAGCCAGTAGAAGCTCTTCCATCTAACAGTGCTTTGCATGTGCAGCAGCTGATAGTGAAGCTCTGGAGGCTGCAGACTTTTCTGCTCCAGCAGCGCGGCCCTGCGCTCCCAGGCTATGACTCATCCCGGCTGCCAGTCACCGCTGCTGGACACGACCGGACCTCCTCACCGAGCAGGAGCCTAAACACCTGCCTGCTCCCCCCGCAGCAGAAAGCCTCACCTCTCTGTGATGAAACTACTCCGATGCTGCCGTCAGGTGCGCGCTGCTGCCGGGCCGCTGGCTCTCCTCTTCCCTCTCTCCTCCCGGACGTCGCATCGCCTCCCCGGTTGTGATGGACGGGAGGCTCCGCTGCTTCGGAGGAGGAGCGCTCAGTGGCTGAGGACCTCCGTGGGAGCAGCGGCTCTGATGGATGTGGTTCCGTTGGCTTCAGGGGTGGGGGACCGACGCTCACGATGCCTTCAGGGACTACACGTAAAGTCGGATTTCCAAGCTCTCGGCGAGAGATGCGCTTCTCTGTTACCATGGTGATTTAAAGGCAGAGTGCTTTTGTCTTATTTTATAAGAGGGATCCATCCATGGCTGCTCAGTGGAGCAGTGGCTAGCACTGCTGCCTTGCATCAAGAAGGTTCTGGGTTCAATTCCCGGGGTCTTTCTGCATGAAATTAGCGTGTTCTCCCTGAGCATGTGTGGGTTCTCTCCGGGTACTCCGGCTTCCTCCCACTGTCCAAAACCATGACTGCTTAGCTTAATTGGCTTCTCTAAAATCTCCTTAGGTTTGAGTGTGAATGGTTGTTTGTCTCTGTGTTGCCCTGCGATGGACTGGAGACCTGTCCAGGGTGGACCCGCCGACTTTACACGAGTTAATTTAGTGAATGTGATTGGTCGTTTAGCTAGGCGGCGGGATTGTTGTGACAGAAGGTGCTCAAGCATGTCTGGTTGTGGCCAGTTTGTTAGCATCTTGCTAACCAGTTAGCAACTTAGTGCTAGCAGGTTCCCAATGGGAAATTCCATTGGGACCAAGTAGCACTAAATTGGTGACTTAGAAACGACGCTGTCAAGGAACGCTATGGACAGCGGAAACATGCAAGAGGAGGAGAGTTTAGTGTCGGAGGTCGTGGATGAGTCTCCTCCGTCATCCATTTTTTATTTAGAGGAGGAAAGCGGGGACGAAGATGTTGTGGAAGAGGACGCCAGGGCGGCAGAAGCTTGGTTTGGTGTAGAAGGCTTCCAGCCGTACATGTTTGAGCCCTTGCCTCGCAACGCTGCCAGTTCTGTTAGCTCTACGCCTGCCGAAGACACAGACGTCCATCCCCGTGAACACTGGGACGCAACTCAATGGGAAAGGAAAGGATTCTGGTTTCAACCGTTGCGTATATTAGCTGCGACATATGAATCAAGATGCTATGACCGAAAACATTTGATTGACAGATAACCGTTGATATATGATTGGCCGAATTTAGGTGTTCAGGCTGACGTAGAACTAACTGGCCTGCAGAAGATAACTGAAAAAAAAAAGAAACTGATTTTAAGACAGGATTTTTTTAAAGATAGAGATGTTCTAACTTTTGGGACAATATGGTCTGATAAAGATTATATTTATTATACATGTTTAAGCCAGAATGATTTGACAGTTAAATATGATTTCCCTACGACTTTAACTTTTCTTCTGGAATCTTCTTCTTCTTGTGTTTGTTTGGCAGTTGGCAAACCACTTTATTTGTGCATCACCACCAACGACTAGTACAGAATGTGGAAAGTAATGGATTCATCTTTAAATAAAATCTTGAAATAAAATGAAATTCTTTTAAACAATTTGGTCCTTTTTAAAAATCTTAGAACCATGTATATCTGTTCGCTTCCTGAATTTCTTTTCAATATATCAGTTATATCAAACGTTTCCTTAATTTTCTCAAATTCTTTTCTTGTGTAATTTCTTTATATTTGATACTTTTGACAATCTAATATAACATTTCTATTGTTTCATTTTTCTCACAATAATTCCATTTTCCTGTATTATGTTTTTACACTGTGAATTTAACTTTGTTAATAACCTTCTTCCATTTTTTGTTTCCTCCAAATGACTTTTTTGATAGTATAAAACTCTCTCTTTCTATCCCATCGTTTCTGCCCTTCGTTCTTTAATTTTTGTTCGCCTCCTTCCTGGTCCCAGCTCCTAAAGAGGCCCCACTGGTTAGGAGTAAATGCCAAACACCTGTGGAGCCACACCTGCCATTCACAGCCTGCAGCCAGAGAGCAGCTAAAAAATAAACAACCTGCACACAGTCTGAGTATGACTTACCCCCCCTTAATGGATGCCCCCTGCAGTCCATCCAGGAGAAGATGCAACAAAGATCAGAGAAGGATCTAGAACAGAGGTGGACATTTCCAGTTGCTGATGGCTGCTATCCTGCAGCTTTTAGATTTGTTCTTGTCAAACACTCCTAAATGAAATAGCTGAATCGCCTCCTCAGTATGCTGCCAGTTTCTGTACTTTCTTAATCATCTAATTACTTGATTCAGGTATGTTGCACCAAGGACACCTCTAAAGGTTGCAGGATAGTGGCCCTCAGGAACTGAAATTTATATACCGGTATATAAATATATGGTCTGTTTTTTTTTTTTTTTTTGTTATTAATAAAATGACTCAAAAACTTTAAATTGATGAACTGGTATTCACTTGTAGGTTTCAATAATTGCCTGAAATGAACAAACAAATAAATTATTGACAAAAAATGAATAAAAAGAAATTCTCGCTTTTCATGATTGAATTATTAAAAGGAACCACACATTTATTTATTTTTTTGGGGGGGGGCTTCAATTGTTTATCTTTTTTAGCCAATTCAAGTTTCATATTAAAATAAACTGAAATGTTGTAAAAATATTTTATGCACGAGTTTGGGGATGACAACTGATTTTCAAAACAACAATGGAATAAAATCTACGGAAGAGGATTAGGGCCACTGGGGGAAAAAAAAAAGTTAACTGATTTTTAACGTTTATTTCAGTTTACTATGGGAAAAAAGTCAGAATTCTGACTTTATTTTCTCAGAAGTCTGACTTTAATCTCAGAATACTGACTTTTTTCTCAGAATTCTGACTTTTTTCTCAAAATTCTGACTGAATTCTGACAATAAAAAAAGTCAGAATTCTGAGAAAGTCCCATACTAAACTGAAATCAAATTTTAAAATCAGTAAACTTTTTTTTTTTTTTTCCAGTGGCCCTAATCCTCCTCCGTAAAAAGCAGATAGATTCAAACTATATATATATATTTTTTTTTTTCTTGGAACGTTATTAAACGTAATTTGCTCGTTTTCCACTTGGGGGCGGTAAACAAGTTTTGAGGAACCAAAGAAGAAGAAAGACACGCCTGCTTAGGAACAGTAGACAACCACGGAACCAGGCCGGTGGTGCATGGCGCGTGTTTTGAAGCTGCTTGTGGAGAGATGTCCTGGGCCGTGAGTAGTGAGGAAACAGGAAGCGATTCTTGTGGGATGGAAGAGGGAAATAGTGACAATGAAGGTTGGAAGATAGCAACATCAAAAAATGAGAAAAAGCGGAAAAAACAGAGATCAGTTAAAGGGGAATCTAGTTCAGAACAATCCAGTGATGATCATTCCATACATTCCACAGCACAACAAAATGAATTCAAAGTCATATTCAAAGTCGTTAATCAGGCAGACTCTTTTACAAATTGGAATCCGGTTCACTTAACAAAAACCATCAATAAACTTGTCGGAGAAGTCAGAGGTGCCAGAATTCTGTACAGTGGAGACCTGCTAATTAACTGCAGAGACAGCGCCCAGCAAGGCAAAACAATACGGATCAACAAAATTGACGGGATAAGAGTTCAGTGCAGCTTATTGGAGAACAAAAAGATCAGCAGGGGAGTCATTGGAGGAGTTCCTCTAAAAATTTCTGAAAAAGAGATTCTGGAAAACATAAGCGGTGCAAAAGTAAAAGAAGTAAAACGGTTAAAAACAACAAGAAACGGAGAAAGATCTAACAGTTTATCGGTGTTAATTAAATTCGAAGAAGAGCAATTACCAAGCAAAGTATTCATCGGTTACATAAGCTATAATGTCAAAATCTACAATCCTCCACCATTGAGATGTTTCAAATGCCAAAAATTCGGTCACATTGCAGCAGTTTGTAAAGGGAAACAGAGGTGTGGAAGGTGTGCAGGAGAACATGAGTACGGAAAATGTGGAAAAGAAGCTAAAATAAAAAGCTTGAATTGTGGTGGAGAACATACTGCTGCTTATCGCGGCTGTGAAGCAAGCAAAAGGTCTGAGGAAATTAAAAAAATGAAATTTGAGCTCGGAATAACCTACGCTGAAGCTGCAAAAAGGATCCCATCTCAGTCAGAAAAACCCAAACCTACAGTTCAACACACGGCAAATTCCAAATCTCTAGAGAAATCTCCAAAAATTGATGAAGACTCACTAATTGTTAAAAAGACAAATTTTGTTCTTTTCATGGTAGAAGTGATTAATTGTACTGCACAGACAACAAAAAAAAACTGAAAAAATCAAAATAATAGTGAAGGCTGCAGAAAAATATCTGGACATTAAAGATTTGAACTGGGAGATGGTTGGAAGCATGATGGGAGGACCGATGGGACCATCAGAAACTGGCAGAATTACGATGACCTAGAGTAAATTAAAATTATATGGGCAAATGTGATTTAGTATTATGTTGGTTTAAGTTACACAGGTTTTTTTTTGTTTTTTTTTTGGGGGGGGGGGGGATGAATCGTTTCCTGTTTTCTTGCTTTACTCCATATCAGTTGGTGGCGGTAATGCACAATTCACAAGTCTGCCAACCGCCATACATAAAATCTCATAAGAAGAAGAAGAAGAAGAAGAAAGACACGCCTTTCCTGTCAGGAATTGGCCAATCAGGGGTCTCCATTCCGGACGGCGCTGTGCCTTGCTGTGCGCTAAGCTAATTTTCTGGCAGAAAGCTAAAAACAAACCTCATAAACCGACCGCACCTTCTGGTTTCCTGCTCCGAACATCTCCAGGAGGATCAGGGTCGGACTTTAGTCCAGAACCGAACCATGGTTGGTGTTAAAGTGATCAGCAGCGACCCGGACTTCCAGCCGGAGTTAGCGGCCGCCGGCTCCAGGCTAGCCGTGGTGAAGTTCACAATGGCCGGGTAAGGATCCCCACACACCCCCACTGGGAGCTGCTAACCGGGACCTGTCTGCCGGTTCTGGGAACCATAAAGACCCGGATGTAACAGATTGAAAGAACTAAATGATATGGCTGCTGTAGTAGATCTAATTAGATGTTCTTTGACCAATGCTGCTGTTAGCTGCTAGTAGCTAACTAGCTGTGCTGCTTACCATGACTGTGCACTATTACAGTAAGTTAGCTGCTGAAGTGCAGCGCTGCTGTTACCAAAGACCTTATTTAATATGTAATAATATGTTGATAAAAGCTGTAAAACAAACAGTCGATAGAAAAGTTCAACCAGTCTCTTTAAAACGATCAAAGATTCCCGCTTTGATTAATAACTTCTAAACTTTTCCACACTTCAAGTGAGCTAAAGCCTCTGAGACTCAGCTGGGAAATGAAACTGCCATTATAATATTACAAAATAATTAGTATTGAACCGATACCGATGCCAGTATCGGGCGGGGCCCCGATCCAGCACTAACCTGGTATCGGTATCGCGGGTTACCAACCAATAGGGCACCGATATCATTCTGAGAGGCTAAAGTTTCTTCAACTATTGTCGCCCATTCCAGGGAGGAAATAAAAAGTTCTACTGATTCACTTTATTTTAGTCTTTTTCCTGCTTCACAAAGGAAGGCAGCAGCTTGAAACCATGATGGTGATTATTTTATATCCCAGTAGTCTGCAGTTCTTCATAGACACACCAATTTCAAACAGGTGGTATCGGTACGGGCCGATACTGACCAGCCAGGTATCGGGGCCAAAAATGGAGTCGGCTCAACACTAAAAATAATGAGCGTTTAGAAATATTCCACCTTGAATTGATATTATTTAAGCACCAGTTCAGCTTATTGCTCTGCTCCATCCTGGTTAGAGATCTGATCATATTTACCAATTTCTGTCAATTTGTTTGGATTGTTCTTGTTCTTTATGGCTTTATGCTCAGAAACCAGGTCGTCTGCGTGTTTGTAGCAGTTAATATCAGATATGCCTTTCTGATTGATCAGTTCTACATCCGCTCTACACTATATTTCCTGATTGGTGCCTAATGGCAGGAACTCTGGCTGTAGCTCCGCCCACAGCGCCTGGCACACCTCAGACTCTATCCCAGACGCCGTGCAGGACGCTAGTTTGTAGCTCTGAGCGACGGTCTGTTGGTTTGCACCAGAAGCCAAAACACGCAGCCCCACGGCCGGTCTTTGGGGAACACTCACCGGGGTGAACTGTGTGTCGTCTGGCGTTGGATGAGGGGTTGTAGACGGCGAACAAGCTCATCAAACTGACACACGGACACCCATAATCCTAGCTAGTTCCTGATTGGCCCTCTGGCGTTGTGGCGTGGAAGAACAGCGCAGACCACGCTTCAATATTTAGCATAAATCAAAGACACCTGCGACACACTGCTGCCGGAGGATAACCAGCCCTTTAGAGAACCAATGCATGACGCGGCCACCACCGTGCTTCTTGTAGATATGGGTTTTCAACTTTTATGGAAATATCACAAACAAAATCAGCCCCAGTTTTGTTAGACCGTAAAACATAATTCCATCTACTTATGCTAGAATTAATCGTGTTTTTGTAAAAGTTACTGAGGCTTGGATGTTTATGAGAAAAGGGTTCAGACTGGACTGAAGATTGCTACGTCAGCCACCTGCCTGAACTCTGCTGTGGCCGCTCCTTAAACCATAAAAATATGTTAAAATCTGACATTTATAGCCTATGATCTACATCCAAACAGCTCGTTTGGGATTAGATCAGATCAGAGGTGAAGAAAGGTCTGAATTTGGCTCATTTTATGACATCAGCGTTAAGCAGAGGAGGTTTTACCCTGATTTTCTCCCTTCTTTCTGCAGCTGTCGGCCCTGCATCAGAATAGCTCCAGCTTTCAACATGTTCAGCAACAAATATCCTCAGGTGGTCTTCCTGGAGGTGGACGTTCATGTCTGCCAGGTAAATCCTTCACTCTCATTGTTTATTCTTTTATTTCTGGTTCTGTGGTGCTAGAAGCTGCCGTCTGCAGCAGTCAGTTTGAACGTGATGTGGAGTTTCTCTCATCCAAAGAGCCTCAAATATACCTACAGCACTGACATTTTGTTTAGTTTTAGGAGATTCTGGGACGTCAGGCAGACGCTGGATAAATCTGCAAGGTGGGACAGGGGGCCTAACTTTATAAAACCAGTTGGGACGCCTGTTTGGGCTAGTTTTCCTGTTGGATCAGCCAACTGTAACCATCTTCCAACTATTCAGGTTGATTAGTATTATTAGGAACCAAACAGGCCCAGAGCATGACACTGCCACCAACATGTTCTCCATCTTTACCTCATCTGGCCGTGGATCTTTTCTCTAGAAGACATTTTTCTCGTCCATGTAGATAGATGCACGTTTCTGTGATGATGAAGGTGTGTTGGAGCCAGAATGATGAAGATGTAAAACCTGCTTCACCCTGGATGGCAGCGCCGAGGTTCTAGCAGCTTTCTTCACGTTGGCGGCTTCCTGATCGTCCCTGAACCGTTTCTTTTCATCCGTTAGAGACATTTAGTCAGATTTAGGAAATTTAGGATAACTGGAAATTTCAACAGAACAGTGATTCACAATTCTATTCTATTCAGTGTATTTCTATAGCTCCAATTCACATCATGTCATCTCAGGTCACTTTCCAGTTCACCAGATCATCCAGTCAGATTGATTCAAAGTTTTCTATCTAAGGAAAACCAGCTGATTGCATCGACTCGTTGACTCTTCAGCAATCCCTCACACTAAGCATGCTTGTAGCGACAGTGGAGAGGAAAAACTCCCTTTGAACAGGAAGAAACCTCCAGCAGAACCAGGCTCAGTGTGAGCGGCCATCTGCTGAGGCCCACTGGGGTTCAAGGAGACAGAAGCAGACATAGAAAAAGAAGCATAGATACAAAAGGCAACTGTCAACCAGCTCCACAGGCGGCCCCGTCCAGGAAACACACAGCCAGGCAGACGAGCTCCGAGCCAGCTCCCATGTCAGAGGATGAAGAGAGCACATCCAGTTAGTCACAGTCAGAGAAACAGGACTACACTGGAAAACAGGCCAAGCTCCAACATGGTGCAGAAAGCTAAAGTGGTTTAGGAACTGATCGATCAGGCTAAAGTCCCCCCTGAGGCTCCACAGACTGAAGCGCAGCAACAGGAACTGATTGGTTCTTGTTTTTCTTCTCTAGGGAACCGCGGCGGCCAACAACATCTCAGCGACGCCCAGCTTCCTGTTCTTCAGGAACCGGGTTCGGGTGGATCAGTATCAGGGAGCAGACGCCGCGGGCCTGGAGGAGAAGATCAAACAGCACACAGAGAACGACCCGGGAAACAGTGAGGACTCCGACATTCCCAAGGGATACGTGAGTTCAAACACTCGCCTCCAGATTGCGCCATGGCCCAGCTGTGCTGGTTGCTGGGAGACCGAGAGAAGCTGGAATCTTAATATGAAATGTGTCACAATGTGAGACCGAAGAGGAATCATTGATTTCATGAATATTTTCTTTGAAGGAAAAGTCTGGTCAGCAATGAATAATCAATTTATTATTTAAACCTAAAACTAGCAGATGAAGGAAAGAAGTTCAAACTTAAAGTGCTCTTAACTTGTTTAATAAATTATATCATTACATTATATCTATTGATTATCGATTATGTCTTAAAAAAAGGGGGGGGGTATAAAGAAGTGAGAAATAATTGAATCAGACCTCTCCTTCCTATAAAATAAAGATAAACGATTTCCTCCGATTATAAATAAGATAAAAGTGAATTTTCTCAGTTTAATGAGGTTAATCAGAATATTTAAAAGGCTTATTGATTTCAGATTTAATGGAAGATTGATGTTGATTCGTTTTACTTTATTTACTTTGATGTTTGAGTCTAGCTTTAGCTTCAGATAAAATGTGAAAATGTAATCTGAGCCTTAAAGGAAAAGTCTGATCAGCAGGAATAATCAATAGTTTGTTATTTATACCTAAAACTAATACGTTTGCAAACATGGATGCCTCCAGTAAAGCACATTCACATGAAAATTACTCTGAATTAAAAACACTGATCATTTATTGAACAGGATGGAATCATTTCATTACTTTTATGCCACTTGTGGCCCATTTTTTCGGACGGTAGGCTGACAGGAATGAGAGACATGCGGCAAAGGACCGCAGGTTGGATTCGAACCCGGGTCGGCCACGTCGAGGACTAAGGCTAAAAATGGGTCGTTGGTGCTAACCACTGCGCCGCTGAAGCATGCTCCAATGATTATAAACTTAAAGGTACACTATGCAACCAGTGTTGATTTTCCAGCGAGGCTCCCCCCAGAGGGCGAAAGTAAAAGTGCACTGTCGTAAATATGCTCAGCTGTTCTCCTGGTTTCTCCGTCAAGCCAGGCGCGGTTGTTTTGAGCTTAGCAGACAGGCGAACACAACGAATGACTAAGCATCTGACGCGCTGCTGCTCGAGATGGAAAAATTGAATTTTTGCTGCTCGACGCACCGCCATAAGAGAAGCTGATCTGGGAGCTGGCTGGGAGAGAGACACAGCGCTGATGATCAGAGCGCTATGATCACTCCTCTTAAACAGTTTATTGACGCCTAAATTAACTTAAAATGCAGAATATGTTGGCTTTTATTATCCTGCTGCCTGCAGATCGGATTATTTAGATGAAAAACACCTACCAGCTGCCGCCGTGAACCGCGAGGAGGCGACCCGGCCAGAGGCTGCTGATGAAGGGATTCCAACTGTCGGCGCACCGCTGGTATGTGGGGGTCTGAGCGCTCCGACAGAAATAATATTGGAAGGCAGGATAATAATCTGGATGAACTGACGGCACTGATTACGTTTTCAGGTGTATTTTCTCACTTAAAAACATATTAAAACTACTTTATTCCAAATGATCACAGCAAATATAGCTGCAAGGCAGAGAAAGGATAGTGAAGCTCCGCCCACCGCGCGTCAGACACACTTTTGCACCGCGCAGCCAGAGCAGCAAAGCTGCTTCAGCCGCGCGTCAGAACTAACTGGTACAAGCAGCAAAAAGGAAGCAGCAGACGCCATTTTGCTGCTTTTGCTGCGTGAACGTAGCATAACTGCACAAAGATCGCCACTGTCTTCTTCTTCTTCTTCTTCTTGTTTTACTGGCGACTTGCAACCAAATGGAGCATTATCGCCACCTACTTGATCTTATTTATGTTTCCTTAAATCCTTAGGTTTAGTCCAGTTTGTTGAAGATAAGATGACATGATTTTAAATACTGTCTTTCTGGATTTATTGATCGCCACTGCGCTAGCAACGAGCATGCTTTTAACTGGGGGCGTGTAGCAGTTCTCGCCGTAAAGCAAGACTGACTCTCACGAGACTTCTGAGCCTGTGGGTGCGGGTCGGTGCTCCTGCAATTGCAAGTACGGTATTTCCCCCACAGACCACCAGGGCGGCCGAGAATACCTTTGTTCAACCTGAAATGACTCATTTAATCATCCAAAACGTTATGGAACACATTAATTAACTGAAAAATGTTGCATAGTGTGCCTTTAAAGGACTTTCAGACTTTTCCTTTAAACAGTCCCAGTTCAACTCATCAAAACCATATTTCATGTTTTTGGATCTTTGGTGACGTCAGATAATGAATGTTTACACATCCTAATGGTTAAGAACTTCTTCAGGTAGTGATGTTGAACCAGGAGTCAAACATAAACCCAAAGCTTGGAGACGGAATAGAACCTCATGTGATTCGATCCGTTTGTCTGTGTCGGTCAGATGGACCTCATGCCTTTCGTCAACAAAGCCGGCTGCGAGTGCCTCAACGAGAGCGACGACTGCGGCTTCGACAACTGCCTCATCAAAGACTCGTCTTACCTGGAGTCTGACTGCGACGAACAGGTGAAACGTCAGAGTGAGAGAACTTTTCTTCCGCTTGGTTCTCCCTCTTTTAACTCAGTGTTTCCTCCTCAAGCTGTTGATAACCATGGCCTTCAACCAGCCTGTCAAGCTGTTCTCCATGAAGCTCCAGTGTTCAGATTTAGGTGAGTTTTCTTCTTTCCTGCAGAAGCGAGGCCTTTAAAATCCAGGAATTCACCTTCTTCCGCATGTTTCCTCCTCAGCTCAGGCCCCAAAGGAGATGAAGATCTTCATCAACCTTCCTCGGTCGATGGGCTTCGACGACGCTGAGCGGAGTGAAGCCACCCAGACCCTGGAGCTGTCTGAGGAAGACTACAAAGACGACGGTCTGATTCCTCTACGCTACGTCAAGTTTCAAAATGTCCAGAGTGTAACGGTGAGGACCTTTAAACGTGAATAGATTACTCCGGGAAACCTGAAAGAAAGACGGAAAACAAATGTCAGCAGAAAATACAGATATTGAGAGCAGCAGGGGAAAGAATCAGAGAGAGGAAAAGTGGTCCCTATGTCTTCCAGCAGCCTTAGCCTATAGCAGCATAACTAAAAGTAGACAGAGTGACTGATAACTAAAAGATCTGCCTCCCATTCTACTTTAAAAAATTCTAGGAACCACTAGTAAACCTGCAGATTGAGAGCGAAGTGCTCTGTTAGGAACATATTCCTCATAGTAGAGAATCCTAATGGAAGGATCAGATGTTGGTTTTACACCATGAGAAGATGCTGCTGAAGATTCTCATTCATCCAGATCAGTTATTCCAAAAAAGTTCAAAACAATCCACTGGACTTTGTTTCCAAGTTTGAAGACGTTTCTCTTCCATCCAGGAAGATTTTTAATTCAAAATGTCAGAAATAGCGTTTAGTTCCAGGTTTTATCCAGCAGCCCAACAAAGCCTTTTGTTTGGTGAGAAGAAGACCTCACCTGTTCATCCAGGCCAACTATTCCCTCTAACGACCCCCTTTCAGAGACATAGACAGGTATGGGGCATTGCAGGCTAACAAAGAAGCCAAACGACCCCCATTCCAAAGGGGGGGACCCGTTCATCCGTTTCTATTTGCATGTTTTCTAAACTAAAACCAGGCTTTGTTGGGCTGCTGGATAAAACCTGGAACTAAACGCTATTTCTGACATTTTGAAAATGTTTGAGTTTATGAAAATTTATGATTTTTTTGTCTATTTTAATATGGTGTGCTGGAGGTCAAACAAAGATTTATTATGTTTCCACAATGCTGTAAACATTTGTATAATAAATAAATGCAAACGTTTCCTTTAACGAAAGCTTGCGTCACAGCCATAGAGGTCAGAGGTCAGAGCCTGCAGCAGGTTTCAGCGCGGCGCCGGGCAGGTGGCTGATGTAAACAAAGCGGTGGGCGTGTCTCAGGCCGTGGAGGCCAAAGGGGGAAAAAGGAAGATAGTTGATGAGAACAGAGGATTCAGAGAAGGATGGAGCGAATCGTTTGCTTTCATTACTAATGAGGAACGATTGTCTGCATGTTTGCTTTGGAAGGAGAAGTTATCAAATAATAAAAAGATAAATTAGGAAAGGCTTTTCCAGGGACGGCTAAATCTGCAGGACGCCACCAGCTGGGAGGGAGAGAAAAAGACAGATTGCAGAAGTTCTGGATAAATTAGAGGAGATCACCTCACCTCATGCTGCCGTGTGACATTTGTTCCAGGATCAACCTTGAATCATGAATGATTATTTTATATTTAAGCCCACGTAGTCATTTTTTATAGTGGGCTAACACACTTAGAGCTACTCTCAGAGAAGACTTTCCCATTTTTGCAGCTCCAGACAGATTTATTTTTATTTTTTGTTTTTTCGTCCGAAACGGCTCTTTGAGCAGTTAGAGTTTCCGCGTCGCTACCCGATCCGTCCTGCACAAACAGATATACAGCCAGGTTTTCATAAAAAATGTAGTTATGGTTTAAAAATTACTTATTTCTATCCTTTACTCTCTAAATAATGCTAAAACACATCTTTATAAAATGTTTTATGACTTTTCTGAGACAATTTTGATGCTTTTTCCATTTTCTCAGTTTAACAGCTTCTCTGATGTCATCATGGGACACGATCAGAGCTGTAAATCTCATTAAACCATGTTTATATCACGCACTATAAAGCATAATGTAAACATGGAAGGAAAACATAAAACTCAAAAAGACAAGATTTATGTTTAAATCCACAGCTGATAAAGTTAGCTCCTGGACGTAGCGTAGCATCCCATTTCCTCTACAGATCAGGAACAGAAGATAAAAGAGATTTTAAGGCTTTATATTCTCAGGAAATACATTATTAACCTTTAACACATTATAGTTTAGTACATTTACTATTTTCGGGGAGGAAAAAACATCATTTAGGTCTTTTTAACGGAATAAAAATCGAGGGCAACCGGGATGAATATCTGGAGGCGCAGATGAGCTGATGATGCAGGACGGATCGGGTAGCGACAAGCCCGACCTCTGCTCTATATGAGGCGGTAAAGAGAAGCGACCAAAGTTGATAGAGAAAAGAATTCAGTTAGCATAGAGCTGCAATAACTAAACAGGCCAGCTGGAGGCATATGGGCTCAGCAGAGGTGAGGAAGGGTTATGATCAGCCGTGAATGATGATGTCTGTAGAAAGACGTCTTTCTCTGCATCAAAGAAACACCCACCATCATCATCATCATCCAGCGTCTAACCGAGCCCCCCCTCCTCTTCCTCTCTTCTCTAGTTGTTTGTCAAGTCAAACCAGGGAGAGGAGGAGACGACAAAGATCAACTACCTGACGTTCATCGGCACCCCGGTTCAGGCCACTAACATGAACGACTTCAAGAGGGTAAGGAAGCGCCGCCGCCGGCCCGTCATCCGGGCGTTTGGAGCGTCTGCCTCATCAGTCACCTTTTCCCCCTGCAGGTCGTCGGGAAGAAAGGTGAGAGTCACTGAGCAGCAGAACCCAGTCCAGGGAGGATGAGGAGAAGAAGAAGAGGCCGCGGGAGGAAACCATCCGCAGCGACCGCCATCTTCCCTCCTGCTGCGGCGTTCAGACCTCATTTATATTGTAACTCTGTTGAAATCGCTGTAAATAAAATCCAACCCTTTTTCAAAGGCACCATCTTTCAGGTGGCTTGATTCAGAGCAGCAGACCTAAAGTGCTTTTAACACCTTTAATAAATAATAGAATTACATCGATTATGTCTTAAAGAAGTGAGAAATAATTTAATCATTCTTCTCCTTCCTATAAAATAAAGATTAACAACTTGTTCTGATATAAATAAGATAAAAATGATCCAATGAAAGTGAATCTTCTCAGTTTAATGAGATAAATCAGAATATTTAAAAGGTTATAGATTTCAGACTAGATGGAAGTTTGATGCTGATTCATTTCAGTTTTTATTAACTTTGATGTTTGAGTCTCAGTGAATAAAAACCTTGTTTAGCTTCAGATAAAATGTGAAAATGTCATCTGAGCCTTAAAACAAGGTTTCACTGTGTGTGTGGGGGGGGTCCTTATTCTCCGCTTTCCTTGGCTGATCTCCATCCATTCCCATCTAAACATCAATATTTTCACTAAAATATTCTTTCTGTGATGATTTATGGACATTAAGATCTAAAGAGAGGCGCCATCTGCTGGTCAGATGCTGTAATTCAGTGAAGGGATAAAGTCAGAGTAAAATAATGTGCAAGAGGGCTGGAAGTTGAAGGGGATTCTGCTGGGAGTTGCAGGGAAGTTGGCTGCCATTCAGCTGGCGTTTTACTGGGAGGAGCCATTTTAAATGGCTGCTGCTGCATGATGCCCAAGTTGCTGAGATGAGGTAAACTTTGACCTTTCTTCATGGCGTAGAGCAGAGAAACTGTTCTGAGTGGTTAATAATCGTTAAGCGTTCTCTCCTGTTGTGCTTTTACACAATGGAGGCAACAAATCGGGGATCGTTTTCTTCCTCCACCGTTTAACTGGTCCTGATCGGACTGAAAGCCCCTTCCAGGATACGGAGCAGATCCTAAAGAGATGAGCTGCAGCTGGAGGCAGAGCGTCACAATCCTCAACACTAGAGATCCAGAACATCTAGAACTGGCACAGTTCTGTGGAGATCAAGTTCTGAGGGATTTGGAAATCCGTTCTGTTCGTGGAAAGTTTAGTTGAAGGAAAAACTGCTGAAAAGACGAAGCAGCGGCTAGAAAAACTGAAGCCTTGAGAGGATTTTTAAGCAAAGTCAAACAAGAATTTAAGCTTCTTTCACAATGAAGGCGAATACGACCGATTCCGACACACTTACTCGGCAATATTCGAGTAAAAGGTTTGGGGAAAAAAAGGAGTATTTCCAAAAAAGTTAAAATCAATCCACTGAACTTTGTTCCAAAGATTGAAGACGTTTCTCTTCCCATCCAGGAAGATTTTTCAATTCAAAATGTCTTTTTTGGAATGAATATAACCTGGATGACAGAATCTTCACCTGCAGGAAACCTTAAGGAGTATTTTTACTGCACTGCTCTTCTGGCTTTAACTTTGGTAATATTGTTGTGAAGTATCACTACTTTTCCTTCAGTTAAAAATCTGGTTACTTTGCTACACAGTTACAGGAAACAGCAGCTTCTATCAGTGGAAGTTCTATAATCTGTTCTGACATATAAACAGTTCTCAGGGTCAGGTTTGGCTTTATGTTTTATGGAGAAGGGAAAACAGATCAAGCATGAATTAGTTATTTTGTTATTACATTATTTATATTGTAGTTTTTTAAACTAGCAGAACTCTTTGTTCTGTCAGAGCTGACAGTTTCCTGAATCTGTCCCCAAACTAGAAAACTAACCAGGATTCATGGAAACGTGGCTGCAGAGCTGCAGAAGTCCTGCTCCCATAAAGATCACACAGCTGCTCAGTCATTTTATGCTCATTTGGATTGAAAACATCAATATTTAGAAATAATAATAATAAAAAAAAAGGTTTTTGATTTGTTTTTGAGAACATTTCCAACATTAGAGCCTGGTGCTCTGTATCTGCAACTCTTCACATGTTCCAACTGTTATACATTCTTATAAACTAATAAATCATCATTCGGTCCTTATTGCTCGGTAATCAGCCCTGTTCTGATCTGAGCAGCGTTCGTTCCTCCTTAGTTACAATAATGGAGTCTACACTAATTACAGACACTTTGGTTAAACAGTAACATGTTATAAACCTGAGAAAGAATGTCTGCTCTACAAACCTCCTCATACAGGGGAATTATGAGGCCTTACAGGGGAAACAGGCTGAGTGAAAACTTTTATAGTGACTAAATAGAATAAATTAATATATAAAATAAGATAAACTAAATGTTCTGACTACAGGTGATAATTTTGAATGTTTTTTTTTAATGACCTCTGGCTGTGAACAGCAGAGGGCGCTGTAGTTCAGCGGTTTTTATTTTCCTTTTTTTTTTAACTTAGCACATGTTGAGAAAAAGAAAACAAATTATTAAAATATCTGAAATTATATCTTGGATTATTGGATTAGAGCTGGAATCTCTGAATTATTGGAAAACATTTAGTTCCTCCCTCCTCTTTCTGTCAAAGTCCACTGATCTCTGTTTATTCCCTGATTAGTAGAACAGGTTAAAGTGAAGCTACCAGCAGCCATATTGGTACTCCCCAGTTAGACCGGGCTCAATGTAAACAATCTGTGCTCTGCAGCATCGAACAATGATGATGTTCTCACTTTCAGGGACTGAAGACTTTTAAAATAAAGATAAATTAATCACTTTGAAACAGACTGGCTGTTTCATAGCATCAGTAGATTACTTTGACTAGGCCCATTACATTGCAAAGTCATTATGAAGTCTATAAATCATGTAATATAACATATTATACAAATTAATCACAATAACATGAATGTGCTAATGGAGCAGAATAATACAGATGAGCCAAAAGTGCTAAATTGATGATGTAATAAACATGGATTTTATTACATTGTTAGGGGAATTACATATTACATGTCTGCTAATGCATGCAATATTATATATATATATATATATATATATATATATATATATATATATATATATATATATATATATATATATATATATATATATATATATATATATATATATATATGGATTTATTGCTTAGTTCATCCACTAACTGGGAAATGACCAGTGGAACGTCTTCCTGAGGCCAGAAACCTGCTGGTTTTAGCATCCAGATGCTGCACAGGGAGGCATTCTGACTGTGCGTCTCCGTGAGAGTGGGGAGTACCAAGATGGCGGACTGTGGATTCACTTTTGTCAAGAGACTCTCCTGTTTTCTTTTAATAAAAAAAAAAAAAAGAAAGAATCATAATCTCTGTCCCTTATTTGTCTCATTTCTATGCTGAAGTTCTTTCCAGGCGGTGTAGAATCTATAGCAGGTAGTTCTACACATCAATACATCAGGAAGTTTCTGAAAGTTAAAGGTTCTTTAAAATTAGACCGAAATGTTCTGATATTAGAATATCTAATTTGTAATTGTGAGTACTTACATACTTTCAATAGAGAGTATTTCTCTTTAGTAGATGTTTGACTGAGTAACTTTTATTTGCAGTAATTTTACTGCAGTAGTACTATTGAGTACCGGTACTTCACCCCCCACTGCTGCTGCCACCTAGATCCAAACAGGAAGTGGAAGTGTAGCTGTGACCTAAGCAGAGAGGCGTCTCCTGCCTGTTTGGGCCTGTTTTCAGTCCTGGGGACTCGCTCTGTAAAGGAGGAACCAACCAGTTCCTGTTTGCTGCTCTTCTCCTCTCTGATCCTCAGACCTTCATTAAACCTCATTCCAGTCTGCAGGTTGGGCCTCGCTGATGCCTGGAGAGCTTCAGATTCCTGCAGCGGTTTTCCTTTCACAGATACTGAGATCTGGTTTCCTGTTAAGAACCGATGCAGGTTGAATGGCAGCGGTTTCTGCCGACCTTCAGCAGAACTTTGAGGAACCCAAACACCAGCGTGGAGGTCGTCCCTCTGCTGGTTTATTGTTTCCTCACACAAAGAGAAAAACCTGAGAGCCATCAGGCCTCCCCTCCCTCCATGCCGCTTGTTTACCCTCCTCTTGGTTTCTGTCCTTCTTGTTTTCTTTGTTTCGCTTCTGAATCTGAGGAGCCCAGCGATGCCAGTCAGTCCTGTAAACTGGTTCCAGCTGGAGTCCAGTCTCCATGTTTTAATGGAGCGCTGCAGGAGGGGAGTGTTGCTGTGGATCCAGGTCTGACCGGTTATTTCAAACCTCTCAGTAATGAGTTCATCTCTGCCAGGCGCAGCCCTCCAGTCTGACTCGGAGCCAAACTGGTTTGTGACACGAATGCAGCTCTGAGCTGACGGGACCTGCAGGGTTTCTGGGCCTGACAGGACCTGCAGGATCAGCGCAGGGAGGACAGTTTGATAGGAGGAGGAAGAAACCATCCTAACGCACAAACAGCGTAACCAAAACACGTCTGAAACAAAGATTCTCGATACTGTGCGGCGTCACAACATCTGATAAAGAAAAGCAAACACCCCTCAGACCGGTTAATACATTATCATCACTTCTATGAGAACAAACTGGAGACATGAGACTGAATCAGAGTCTAACTAATTTAAACTTTAAATCTCAACCTTTAAACTGCAGGACAAAAAAGTAAGAATGATGTCTGGTTGGTGCGTTTGATCCCCGTTAGATTTATGGAGGAGGTGTTAGCTGTAGAGCTGCAGCTACAGATTATTCCATTAATCCAACTGTTTTTTTCTATCAGTCAAAAAGTACTTTAGGGTAAATTTATAAAAATTTCAAAAAGAGATTTGAGGAAAATAACATTTGTTTCCTTTCATCATTTATATTATTGATTATATATTACTATACATCTACTAGAACTAAAATCAGATCAACGCATCCAAGTTTAAATTCTGCTTCTTTTCTGTGAATCTGCACTAAAATAAAGGAAAGATTAAATGTTGTAGAATATATGACTTTATTATCTTTGTATAAAACAATATTTATTCAGTTTACTTTTATTTATAGAGAACTTTACAAACAAAAGGGCAGAATGGGTTCATTTTTAAAATAGGCATAAAAACTGACCAAAAAGATTCAAACACCTAAAAAAAAAAAACTAAAACAGGAAGAAAAATCAAAGGAGATTAAAATGTTCTGACTGATCAGATCAGACTCTGATTGATCGGCTCTGATTGATTGGTTCTGACTGATTTACTCTGTGCGATCGGTTCTGACTGATCGGTCAAAGCCAATCGGTCAGAATCGATCGGTTCTGATCAATCTTGTACCGTTTGAACAAAGTGTTTTTTCAGATCCTTTATCTCCTCTTTCCTCTCTAACAATCTGAATAATGTTCTGATGAAAGAATCGCTGCTTCAGCCTCGATGTTTGAGCTGAAAAACCCAAATAAGAATCAAAGTGTTCAGATCAGACCCGCGGAGGCCGATCAGATCCAGACCCGCGGAGGCCGGTCAGATCCAGACCCGCGGAGGCCGATCAGATCCAGAACCGCGGAGGCCGATCAGATCCAGACCCGCGGAGGCCGATCAGATCCAGACCCGCGGAGGCCGATCAGATCCAGACCCGCGGAGGCCGATCAGATCCAGACCCGCGGAGGCCGATCAGATCCAGACCCGCGGAGGCCGATCAGATCCAGACCCGCGGAGGCCGGTCAGATCCAGACCCGCGGAGGCCGATCAGATCCAGAACCGCGGAGGCCGATCAGATCCAGACCCGCGGAGGCCGATCAGATCCAGACCCGCGGAGGCCGATCAGATCCAGACCCGCGGAGGCCGATCAGATCCAGACCCGCGGAGGCCGATCAGATCCAGACCCGCGGAGGCCGATCAGATCCAGAACCGCGGAGGCCGATCAGATCCAGACCCGCGGAGGCCGATCAGATCCAGAACCGCGGAGGCCGATCAGATCCAGACCCGCGGAGGCCGATCAGATCCAGACCCGCGGAGGCCGATCAGATCCAGACCCGCGGAGGCCGATCAGATCCAGACCCGCGGAGGCCGATCAGATCCAGACCCGCGGAGGCCGATCAGATCCAGACCCGCGGAGGCCGATCAGATCCAGACCCGCGGAGGCCGATCAGATCCAGAACCGCGGAGGCCGATCAGATCCAGACCCGCGGAGGCCGATCAGATCCAGACCCGCGGAGGCCGATCAGATCCAGACCCGCGGAGGCCGATCAGATCCAGACCCGCGGAGGCCGATCAGATCCAGCTGGGATCTAAAACCGATGAGATTTATGTTTGAGTAAAGCGGCGATGGACGATGATCTGGAGACTTTCACCATCTGGGCCACCGTCCGCGGCCTCTGAGCCGAGGAGGCCGACGACAGGTGATGGCGCCGGCGCTGCTTTGTCGGCTTCCAGTCGGGCTCGCTGCTCCCCGCCTCCTCGACCAGCGCGGCTTTAGGCGGCGCCCCGAGCAGCTGCAGGATGTCCGGCGATCTGTCGCTCAGGTACTGCCAGGGCTTCTTCCCCGCCATGTCCCTCAGCTTCACGTTGGCGCCGAACTTCTTCACCAGTAAGCGGATAATGTTCTTGTGGCCGTGGATGGCGGCGATGTGGAGCGGGGTCTGACCGCCCGTGGACTTGGCGTCGATGTTGAAGGTCAGGCCTTTCTGCTCCACTCCGTACCTGAAAGCAAGAGCAGAGAGCAGCTGAAGCTTCCGGTCCGGCTGAGGGAAGGACACACCCACCCAAATATCCACACCAACAGGGAACCGGTGATGGATCGGTACCATCGCCGTCGGATGTCAGGACGCCGCCGCTCCTCCCTGAATCTTTAAAGGACATTTATTGCTTTATAGATGCTGTATAGAAAGTTTATTATATTTGTTCTTTCTCTGCTTCTACCACAGATGATACATTTTGGGTCTATTCAGAACCAGAGATGGAAAATCCAATCCCAGAATGTACCGCCATGTTTTCCTCCATCCTGGTCACATTAACAGTCTCTGCTGCAGACCTGGACCTGATCTCTGTACAGATGTTTTACTTCCTGGACGGCTATGGAAACGGGTCCATCAAGGTGACAGGAGACAGCGAAGGCTGCCTGATATAACCAGGGTCACTGGAAGTCGTTTTGAAAAGGGGAGCTGTGAAAATTTGTTTTTTTTTTTGGACAAATCCAATCATGCTAGGTTGGGTTGCAGGTGCTGCGGCTGGGCCTACCTGTGCAGCTGCCATCAGAGGCGGGCAGACAGTCCCCTGACTCCGTCTGCTCTCCGTTGTCATGGTCGCGGTGCTAATGTTCTTCCTCACTGGTTGCTGTTTTCCCCAAAAATCTAAAATGTGTTTCTGTGCCGTTTTTTGTCATTAGACTATGTAAATTTACTTGTCTGCTGCCACGAGCGGGATACCTCTTCGGTAACCATTAAGCTTGCGTGACGTTGCCATGGCAATGTAACTTCAGTGAACTTGCATTGATTAGGCCTCAAAATAATTTACGGTAATTAAAGTCGTAGGGAAGCGGCTGTTCCAACCGTTTCATTTCCAAATTCTCCCGACTTTACACGAGTGAATTAAGTGAATGTGATTGGTCGATTATCAAGGGGGCGGGATTGTTGTGGCGGAAGGTTCACAAGCTTTTTGGTTGTGGTCGGTTTGTCAGAAGCATCTTGCTAACCAGTTAGCATCTTAGAGCTAGCAGGTTCCCAATGGAGGACGATGACTGACAGCTTAGGCACCTGGACAGAAATGTTTCCAAATGTTGCATTCAGGAATCGTAGGAAATTAAAGAACAACCTGGAAAAAATAATCCATGGAGCTGAATTGGGACCATAAAGTTTGTTCAAAAAATTTTTTTTTAATAAAAAAGAATTATTTGAAACTGAAAAGAAAATTGAAAACTGGAAAAAAAAGATTTTAAAATGAAAAAAAAAACTAGATATTTTTTTCTATTTGTAAGAGCTGTGGGGGCGGGGCTTAGATGACGGGAATATTTTGTCCACGCGTTAGTCATCAATACACTCCACAGGTAATTTAAGCCCCGCCCCCACAGTCGTTTAAAACAGGAAAAAAAATTAATAATTAGTTAATTATAATTATAAAAATTTTGTTTTCAGCTTTTTTTTCTTCAAATCTGTTTATTCAATCTGACTGGATGGTCTGGTTGAACTGGAAAGTGCCCTGAGATGACCTGTGTTGTGAATTAGCGGTATAGAAATAAACTGAATTTAATTTAATATTTCAGTTCAAAATATTATTTTACTTCTCAAAGAACTTTTTTCAGTAAAAAAAAAGAGTTTAGATTTCTTTTCCAAAATAATTTTTCGAAACTTTATGGCTCTTATTTAGCTCCATATATCATCATATGGGTCTAAAAGCAGCCAAACCTGTCAGAGATAAAATGTAAAAGATAAAAAATAATCCTCTGAGCTGAAAGTTTCTGTTTTCCTTCTGATTTAGAATTAAACATCATTTCCTGCAGTTCAGTCCTTTTCCTGCTTTGTGTAATGCCAAACATCGCCTGTGCATCTCAGAGCTCCAGAGAGCAGCTTACCACAGGGTGTTGAGAACTCGGTGGTCGCCATGTTTGGCGATCCAGTGCAGCACGGTGAAGCCGGAGATGAAGTCCTGCTTGTTGAGCAGCGAGGCGTCGTCTCTGAACAGCGTGTAGATGTCGGGCCAGGCGCCCGCCGCCCCCTTCACCATCCAGGCGTGCTCGTTGGCATCCAGAGGAAGCGGCGACTGTGGACCAGAAAAAAAAAACGTCAGACAGAAACACGGTTTGAGAGCTTTCCATACATCCTATAGGATTTGGCTTCTGCTTCCTGATAGGCCACCTTCCCAGCAGAGCCCGCCTCCTGCAGTCTGACATCTCTAAGATCTGTTCCTCTGACTCCAGGTCTAAACCATCTGGAAGAAGTCAGAGGGAGTCCTCTCTCACCTCCATTTTTGTTCTGTTCTTTTTGTGTGCAGTAGTAGCAGTGCCGCAGCATGATGCTGTCACCGCCGTGCGCGACCTTTGCTTCACCCAAACTAAAAAATCTCATCCTGCAAAAAACATCCATTGTGAAGAAATGACACAAATGAGACATTTCAACCCTACCTCTCCAGCATAGTGAAGGTTCCTCTTGACTTCCTTCCTCCCCTCTACCTCCATCTTGGCCACAGGGCTGGGACAGCGAGGCGGCGTAGCGCAGGACGACAGCGACGAGGATGACAGGTGGTGGGGAAGGCTCAGCGACGAGGAGATCCGCTGCAGGCGCTGCAGTCTGGCGGCCTCGATCTCTGAGCAGGTTTTCTCCAGGTGGAGATGGTCTAGGTCGGTTCCCAAGCTCTGACAATTGCGGTTCCTGAGCCGGCTGCTCATCCGCCGAGCCGCGGATGGGCGGAGCTTCACATGTGGGGAGTTGATGGAGCCGTCGCTGGACTCTGCATCGTCATACAGATCAGCTGCAGGATGGAGGAAATTTTCAATTCTTTATTTACTACAGATATAAAGAACATTTTTTTTTGTTTTTATCTTAGAATGAAAACAAATATTGACTTAAAATTTAACATTTTTTTAAATCCAAACATCTGCTGATCTGGGCTGCAGCACCAAGCCTGCAAACCTATTGTTGTCATTGAAACATCAGCGTGTTAGGAACATGCAGTGTGGCTTCAGAGTCTGACAACATTGACAACGTTAGCCAAGATGTTCCGGATCGTTTGTTGAGAAGGACCGCCTCTTTTTCTGAGGCTGGAGATCCGGAAATCACTCTGGAAGAACTTCAAGAAGAACCCGGAACCCTAAAGGTCCTCCATAGCTGAGCAGAGGTAACCTAACCGGCTCAGCAGAGAGGAAGCCTGATGTCAACCTTCTTCTCCTGAGGTGGGGGCATCTTCTCTTGGATGGAGCATCTCTGGGTCAGAACCAGGATCCGGATCACTAATCCAGATTTTTCTAATAAAAACTGATCAGGAATGAATTCAGATCAACAGAATAAAGTCCAGAAGTTTTACACAAACTTCAGCAGATGTGAACTGATCTATGATCAAAGGAAGAAGACGCCCCCTTTGCTCTGCTAAAATACAGGACAGACACCTGAAACGCACAACAAACTGAAAACTAAAGCGCCATCACTTCTAGAACATTAGCAGCAGATGGCCGCTCACACTGAGCCTGGTTCTGCTGGAGGTTTCTTCCTGTTCAAAGGGAGTTTTTCCTCTCCACTGTCGCTACAAGCATGCTTAGTGTGAGGGATTGCTGAAGAGTCAATGAGTCGATGCAATCAGCTGGTTTTCCTTAGATAGAAAACTTTGAATCAATCTGACTGGATGATCTGGTGAACTGGAAAGTGACCTGAGATGACATGATGTGAATTGGAGCTATAGAAATAAACTGAATAGAATTAAATTACCACAGGCGTCCAAACTATTCATGTTTATTCCTCCAATATAAATCCTGCTGTTTAAAAAAACTTTAGTAGAAGTTAGAGGATCAACTTCAACTTTTTCCTCCAGTAAAAGTGTAAAAGTATCATTTTTAAAACGACTTAAAGTATAAAAGTAAAAGTAATACAGGAAAAACTGTTAATGCCAGAAGCTTTACTGCTCTACTCTGTTAAAGGAACATTTTTCTACCATTCTGGATGATAAATTCCTTATACTTCATTTACTTAGTTTTATAACTAATAACTTTGCATCATCTTAAAAACCTATTTATTTTGGTATGTGGTGAGCAACTAGTTGGGGCAGCACCAAGTCCAACCACAGAGAAATTAATTGTCTGGATGAAACTAATTACTTTGATGGTTTTTATTCCTTTTTAAATACCGAGAGGCCATAAATGAACTAAAATTAAACAAAACTAACGAGTTAATTTATGTAATGTAAGGAATAGAAAGTAAAAAGTCTAAAAAATAATGACTCCAGTAAAGTACAGATAGCCAACATTTCTGCTTCAGTAAGCTAACAAAGTATTTGTACTTTATGTGACTACTCTAAACATTATCCACTAATGTACCGGGTCTTATACGCCTGCTTTGAAACCACAGTTTAAAGCTAAAATGTTGTAAAACAAACAAAAAAAAACTATTGTAACCAACAGCATTGATGCAAAATGTTTGACATGCATCCATTTGAGCGATGAATGAGGAAATAATTGAAGCCGTGATGTTTAACTGAATCCAAAATGAGCTAGAAACACTGCGTCCGACCAGGAAGCTAAAGCTGTAAAAAGTCTCAGACAAATTAACAAATGCAACATATATTGAAAGGGATTGAAATGAAGAAACGGGACACCTCTGAACAGAACCGCAGAAGCCTGAGATTTTCCTGAAATTTACGGACGTCTAAAAGTCTAAAACGATGATCCACTATTTACATCTGATATGGATCCGACTCTCCAGCCTTTTCTTCTGGAGGCTGAACACTGGATCATTTCTCACGTCTTTGCTATATTTTTTGTTTGTTTGTTTAACAGTAAAATAAATAAAAAAATCTTTTTACGTAAAACAGCCAAGAACCAAATGAATCACCTTTGAGGCAGAGCTACAGCTGGCAGAACGACCCAGAAGATCCAGAGTTCAGAATAAGAGCGGATTTTAGATCTCACCTGAGGACAGGTGGACGGGCTTCCCTCTGAGTGGGAACTGCCGGTCGTCATGGAAACGGTGGTCATGGAGATGGTCGGTGGAGTGGTACAGCTGTGACAGCTCTCCCAAAGGTGGCTGTTCATCGTAGAGATTGCCCATAGACTGATGGAGCGGTGTCCTCCCATAAATACGAGGAGCCAGACCGTCCGGCTTTGTCCCGCTGGACTCCTGCAGGACCTCCTGGGATTTCCACACCGCTGCAGGTCCATCTGCCAAAGGAAACAGACAATAAAGAGAGATATATTCTAAAGCTGATGGTTAGAGACGACCTTCACAACAGATCCAGAACCCTTCTCAACCAAGCCAGGAGATGTTCTGAAGGTCCAGACAAAGAGGTGACTCTTACCTCCTCTAGAGCTGCTGGTCCAAGATGGAGAGCAGTCGCCGAGGGACGACCTCCCGTCAGAAGGAGGGTTGGAGACGCTGGAGTACGGCGGGGTCCGGCTCAGACCGGGCCCTGGTTCTGAGGCCCGAGCTGGATGCTTGGCAGGATGGTGTTCAGACTGCGACGCTTGAAAGTGGCCCTCTACGTCTGAGGGCAGACTGCGTCTCATAGACTCCACAGGTCCTGGTTCCAGTCTGGGCCGGACCTTTGAGGGGGCCTGAGGGGCCAAGATCTCCGAGTCCTGGATGTAAATCTGAGGAACCTTCCTCCCTGAAGAGGAGGTGAGGGGAGTAGGGACCTCAGTGATGCAGGGTGAGGAAGTAGAAAGGGTCCTCCCCGCATCCCCAAGCGGGCCGCTCAGAGGCCAAGGTCCTCCTGCTGAGGCCCGTCGAGTCGGGGCCTCCTCCTCGTCTTCCTCCTCGTAATCTTCATCCTGAGAGATGGCGGTTTTGTAGCTCGGGCGGTGTCTGAAGCGGCGGGTCCGAGTCGTATGGGGCAGAGGAGGCTGATCCTCCTTTTGACCAACTGGTTTCGGGTCAGGGTCTGTCAAAGTGACCTGCTGTCCAACAGGTTCAGGATTCTGAGGGACCTGATGTCCTCTTACGGGTTCAGGATTCTGAGGGACCTGGGGTTTTCTGACGGGTTCTGGATTTTGAGGGACCTGGTGTTTTCTGACGGGTTCTGGATTCTGAGGGACCTGGTGTTTTCTGACGGGTTCTGGATTCTGAGGGACCTGCTGTCCTCTTACGGGTTCTGGAATGAGTTCCTGATTAGAGTGTTTTTGTTCTCTAAGTGGTTCTGGAATAGGTTCCTCATCAGAACTGATTTGTTCTATGAGGTGTTTTGGGTTCTGAGGGGTCTTTGGTCCCCTCAGAGGTTCAGGATTTTGTTGGATCTGCTGTTCCCTGCCAAGTTCTGGATTGGAGTTCGGATAGGAGGTTCTTTGTGCTCTGATGGGTTCAGGGACAGGAACCTGATAAGGGATCGGCTGTCCCCTCAGAAGTTCTGGATTCTGTTGGATCTGTCCTCTTCTGATGGGTGGGGTCATGGGAATGTGAGGAGACACGTCCCAGCCTCTGAAGGGTTGACCTCTCATGTCCTCATAAGGAATATTCTGTCCTCTGAAGGGTCTGGGGAACTGGCTGATGAAGTTTTCTCTAAATGGTTCTTGGATCGGATCTTGATGAGCTGTACCCGCTCCTCTGATGGGCGCTAGAACTGGACCTTGATAAACCATCCGCTGTCCTCGGACCGGTCCAGGGAAGCGGACATGGCGGTTGATGATCTGTCCTCTAAAGAGATCCTGGTGAGTGGCCCTATGTCCTCCAGGGTGTTCTTGGACATGGTCCTTATGGCCAACGTGTCCTCTGAAGGGTTCTGAGAAGGTTCCCTTAGGTGGGGGATCCCACCTTTGGACTGGGTTTGGGACATGATCCTGACGGCTGACAATGTGTCCCCTGTTGGCTTCTGGAATGGTTCCCTGATGAGGTGAGTGCGATCTCCTGGTAGGAACATGGGCCAGGTCCATCTCCTCCCCTTTGGTCAGTTCAGGTTTGTAATCCTGACGGAGGACAATACGTCCTCTGGTGGGTCCAAAGATCTGCTCCTGATAATGGACCTGCTGTGCTCTGATCGGATCTGGAACCGGGTCCTGATAATGGGTCTGCTTTCCTCTGATCGGTTCTGGAACCGGGTCCTGATAATGGGTCTGCTGTCCCCTGATCGGATCAGGAACCGGGTCCTGATAATGGGTCTGCTGTCCCCTGATCGGATCAGGAACAGGGTCCTGATAATGGATCTGCTGTCCCCTGATCGGATCGGGAACAGGGTCCTGATAATGGGTCTGCTGTCCCCTGATCGGATCGGGAACAGGGTCCTGATAATGGATCTGCTGTCCCCTGATCGGATCGGGAACAGGGTCCTGATAATGGGTCTGCTGTCCCCTGATCGGATCGGGAACAGGGTCCTGATAATGGGTCTGCTGTCCCCTGATCGGATCAGGAACAGGGTCCTGATAATGGGTCTGCTGTCCCCTGATCGGATCAGGAACCGGGTCCTGATAATGGGTCTGCTGTCCCCTGATCGGATCGGGAACAGGGTCCTGATAATGGGTCTGCTGTCCCCTGATCGGATCAGGAACAGGGTCCTGATAATGGGTCTGCTGTCCCCTGATCGGATCAGGAACCGGGTCCTGATAATGGGTCTGCTGTCCTCTGATCGGATCAGGAACAGGGTCCTGATAATGGGTCTGCTGTCCCCTGATCGGATCAGGAACCGGGTCCTGATAATGGGTCTGCTGTCCTCTGATCGGATCAGGAACAGGGTCCTGATAATGGGTCTGCTGTCCCCTGATCGGATCAGGAACAGGGTCCTGATAATGGGTCTGCTGTCCCCTGATCGGATCGGGAACAGGGTCCTGATAATGGGTCTGCTGTCCTCTGATCGGATCAGGAACCGGGTCCTGATAATGGGTCTGCTGTCCTCTGATCGGATCAGGAACAGGGTCCTGATAATGGGTCTGCTGTCCCCTGATCGGATCAGGAACCGGGTCCTGATAATGGGTCTGCTGTCCTCTGATCGGATCAGGAACAGGGTCCTGATAATGGGTCTGCTGTCCCCTGATCGGATCAGGAACCGGGTCCTGATAATGGGTCTGCTGTCCTCTGATCGGATCAGGAACAGGGTCCTGATAATGGGTCTGCTGTCCCCTGATCGGATCAGGAACAGGGTCCTGATAATGGGTCTGCTGTCCCCTGATCGGATCAGGAATCGGGTCCTGATAATGGGTCTGCTGTCCCCTGATCGGATCGGGAACAGGGTCCTGATAATGGGTCTGCTGTCCCCTGATCGGATCAGGAATCGGGTCCTGATAATGGGTCTGCTGTCCTCTGATCGGATCAGGAACAGGGTCCTGATAATGGGTCTGCTGTCCCCTGATCGGATCAGGAACAGGGTCCTGATAATGGGTCTGCTGTCCCCTGATCGGATCGGGAACAGGGTCCTGATAATGGGTCTGCTGTCCCCTGATCGGATCGGGAACAGGGTCCTGATAATGGGTCTGCTGTCCTCTGATCGGTTCTGGAACATCCTCTCTTTCTGGGATCTCCTGTCCACTGACTGGTCCAGGGTTGTAGTCCTGATGTCTCCCAGTTGGACCAGCAGCAGCAGGGACAGAGACCAGTCTGTCAGGGGCGGAGGCTGGGACCTGGTGTCCTACCTGGACGGACCCAGCTGCAGATCCAGGACTCAGATCGTCCCTCAGCTTCATGTTGGACCTGTTCTCCAGCTGGTCCTGGTCCGCGTCCATGATGCCAGCCGCCGGCAGGGTGGCTCCGGCAGGGAGGAGGTCCGCTCCTTCTGTCCAGGCTCCTTCTCCGGGGACATGTCCTCTGTACTTCTTCCTGAGGACCACATTGGACACTCCGTCGATCTTAGTCACTGTCGCCACGGAGTTGACGAACTTCTTGAAGAGTTCTCGGTTCCGGACGTGATCCGGATGTTCCCGCAGGAAGGGCCTGAAGTGGAGCAGCAGGTCCGAGTTCCTCACCGAGCCGCCGCAGCTCTGCAGGAAAACCAGGACCGAGTCCAGAGTGAAGTCTGTGGCCATACTGGGAGCTCCGCTGCCTGCGGGTCTCAAAGGTCGATCACCGGTTTCTGTCGTCTCATCTAAGCCCCGCCCACCGCAAACTCACCTGCTGCATTCCACAAGGTAACCCGGATGTCCGAGCATCACGTGGCTCCTCACATTCTGCTTTAGGAGGAAAAACACAACATTTCAGATTTTATTATAAATCTGGAAGATTTTATCCAAAATTACATCCAGAAAATTAAATTCCCGAGAAAATAGAATCAAATGTTTGTTTCTGACCTTCCTTCATCTGATCCCTGGAGGATCTGTTTAACCTTTATAGTTTAGATTTATTAAAATGAAAAATCTGATTTAAACATCAATCTATGAACCCAGATGTCAAATGTTGCTGCTTTTGCTCCTGTTAAATTGATTGTTTTTATGCTAAACATCTAAATGTAAACATTAACCCGAAAAATGGCGATTTGCAGATATTTCCTCATCAAGGCTGTAAAGTTACAGGAAAGTCTTTGCTTGAACTTGACTTTTCCATTTAAATCCATAAAAACTAAACTGATTTGTTTAAAGGTGGCAGTGAGAAAATAGGTCTTCTGCTTGTTAATAAAGTTTTTATTTTGTATTTCAAATATGAACCTATGAGTCATGCTGCTGACAGAGGCGGAGCTAGATGGGGGGCCAGGGGGGGCCATGGCCACTCTTAGCCAATCAACCCTTTTTTCTCCCTGTAATAAGACAGACAGTGGCAGCAGTAATACTCTCAAGTGAAATATTTAAAACATTTTAATTTTTCATATATTAACAAATACTTGACAACAAACCACTGTGGTTAATTTAATTATAAACATCAATTAATGCTCTTTTTAGAACCAGATTTTGTATTTTATGGGGTAAAGAGAAAATTATGTGTCTCTGAAAGGAGTCTTATTGAAATCATAGATAGATAACTATTTTAATAAAAACTTAATAATCAATTTATGAAGATATTAGTACTTGTAAATATCAATTTTATGCATAATTGTTGATAAAAGTAGGTAAGTAATGACAATGGGAAAGATGTTCGATATCCTCTATACCTTTTATCTAGAAAGCACAAATATTTTAAATACAGGTGCTGGTCATAAAATTAGAATATCATGAAAAAGTAGATTGATTTCAGTAATTCCATTTAAAAAGTGAAACTTGTATATTATATTCATACATTACATACAAACTCATATATTTCAGATGTTTATTTTGTTTAATTTTGATGATTACAAATGACAACAAATGAAAATCTCAAATTCATCATATCAGAAAATTAGAATATTACTGAAGACCAATAAAAACAAAGGATTTATAGAAATGTTGGCCAACTGAAAAGTATGAACATGAAAAGTATGAGCATGTACAGCACTCAGTATTTAGTTGGGCCTCCTTTGGCCTGTATTACTGCAGCAATGCGGCGTGGCATGGAGTCGATCAGTCTGTGGCACTGCTCAGGTGTTATGATAGCCCAGGTTGCTCTAATAGTGGCTTTTAGCTCTTCTGAATTGTTGGGTCTGGTGTATTGCATCTTCTTCTTCACAATACCCCATAGATTTTCTATGGGGTTAAGGTCAGGAGAGTTTGCTGGCCAATTAAGAACAGGGATACCATGGTCCTTCAACCAGGTACTGGTAGCTTTGGCACTGTGTGCAGGTGCCAAGTCCTGTTGGAAAATGAAATCTGCATCTCCAAAAAGTTGGTCAGCTGCAGGAAGCATGAAGTGCTCTAAAACTTCCTGGTATGTGGCTGCGTTGACCCTGGACCTCAGAAAACACAATGGACCAACACCAGCAGATGACATGGCACCCCAAACCATCACTGACTGTGGAAACTTTACACTGGACTTCAAGCAATGTGGATGAAGTGCCTCTCTTCTTTTCCTCCAGACTCTGGGACCTTGATTTCCAAAGGAAATGCAAAATTTACTTTCATCAGAGAACATGACTTTGGACCACTCACCAGCAGTCCAGTCCTGTTTCTCTTTAGCCCAGGCAAGACGCTTCTGACGCTGTCTGTGGTTCAAGAGTGGCTTGACACAAGGAATGCGACAGCAGAAACCCATGTCTTTCATACGTCTGTGTGTGGTGGTTCTTGAAGCACTCACTCCAGCTGCAGTCCACTCTTTGTGAATCTCCCCCACATTTTTGAATGGGTTTTGTTTCACAATCCTCTCCAGGGTGCGGTTATCTCTCTTGCTTGTACACTTTTTTCGACCACATCTTTTCCTTCCCTTCGCCTCTCTATTAATGTGCTTGGACACTGAGCTCTGTGAACAGCCAGCCTCTTTAGCGATGACCTTTTGTGTCTTGCCCTCCTTGTGCAAGGTGTCGATGGTCGTCTTTTGGACAACTGTCAAGTCAGCAGTCTTCCCCATGATTGTGTAGCCTATAGAACTAGACTGAAAGACCATTTAAAGGCTTTTGCAGGTGGTTTGAGTTAATTAGCTGATTAGAGTGTGGCACCAGGGGCCATCAATTTTGAACCTTTTCACAATATTCTAATTTTCTGATATGATGAATTTGAGATTTTCATTTGTTGTCATTTGTAATCATCAAAATTAAACAAAATAAACATCTGAAATATATGAGTTTGTATGTAATGTATGAATATAATATACAAGTTTCACTTTTTAAATGGAATTACTGAAATCAATCTACTTTTTCATGATATTCTAATTTTATGACCAGCACCTGTATATGCATCTATCTGTTAGCAAAGGTCTTTATTCAGGATGTTTTCCTGTTGCAATAGTGTAGATTAACCCTCAAGGTGTCCACTTTTGGCCTTTTATAAAAACTTTCTGGTTACGCCTCTGGCTGGTGGAGATTCTGGGTCATCCAGGTCAGAGTCACTCCAAAAAAAAGAAAATTAAAAACAATTTACCGAACTTGGTTTCCAAGTTTGAAAACATTTTGCTTCCCGTCCAGGAAGCGTTTTCAATTCAAATGTCAGGTCCCCCCCTTTGGAATGGGGGTCGCTCAAACGACCGTTTCTATTTGCATGTTTTCTAAACTAAAACCAGGCTTTGTTGGGCTGCTGGATAAAACCTGGAACTAAACGCTATTTCTGACATTTAGGATTGAAAAATCTTCCTGGATGGAAGAGAAACGTCTTCAAACTTGGAAACAAAGTCCAGAGGATTGATTTTAATTTTCTTTTTTTGGAACCTAAGCTTCATTATGATGTTTGGCTGAAATAGAACTAAAAGCAGAACAAAGACAAAAGAATTAAAAGCTGCTTCAGGTCACGTATGGATATCACACATAAACATTGGCTGTGATAATTAAAGTAGAATTCAGAGGAAAGTGTGTTTAATTCTAAAAAGAGAAATGAAAGCAGTAATAAGTAGGAGCAGCATGATCAGGGTCATGATGTGATTCCAGCAGGAAGCAGAACCTCTGGCAGGTTTGGTCCATGGCGGGACGGCGCCTCATCAGCGGAAAAAAACAGCCGTTAAATCAACCCTGCTGGATTCATCCTGTCTGATAACTTTATTAGGAAAGAAATCCAAAATGATGTTAATGGTTTTTATTGGAAGTGTTAGACTGCGGGCCGGCCCAAGGCAGCAGCGAACCAGGCACCAATTAGCAAAAGAGAAATTTGGAAAAATAAAATTTTAAAACTATATAATCATTAAATAAAAGTTTGAAAAAAAAACTGTACAAAAAATTGGATTTTAAAAAATATATATATAGAAAATTTGAAATAATAAAATCTGAGAAAACAGCAAAGTTACTCTGAGAGCCGATTTTTGATTAAGACGTTCTTGGATTGCATTAAAAAAAAATCTATTTATAAAACACATTTTCTTTGCAACAATAATGTTGGAGCAAAATTTATTCCATAGATCCAAAGAAAGTACAAATTTTCGTCTAAAAATGGAATAGACTGTTTGTTAAATCTGTTCATTTACAATATAGGTGAATAAATAAACAACAATAGTCGCCAACAAAGAAAATATGTGAATGATTATATATTTAGTCTTTTATTTGGCTTCATAATCCTTGTTGAATCAGTGTGAATCTTTTTTATTTCCAATTAAAAACAGAGAATCTGTGATGTAATCTAACATTTTTAACTGGTTTTCCTAAACATCCAGAAGTCCCAGTTTTTCCAGGAAGAACAGAAACAGAAGGAGCTGAAAAAGTGCTTTAATGGAACAAAAACTTCCCCTTAAATAAGGAGTCCTGCTGCTTTTCTCAAACTGATCCTCACAGCCGGACGATCGAAGGCGCTTTTCTGGGACGACCTCTCGGAGGCGAAGGTCCGTCCCTCTGCGGTTCACTGCCAACAAAATTAAATATCTTTGGGAACCATTTTGTTTTTACTTCAAACGGACCAGAGGATCATCGTATCGCCGTGTGATGGAGATCCTCCTCCTCCTCCATGAGGAGCACTGAGGGAGGAGAAAAGTTCAACAAGCTGCGTGGCGATGGCAGTGACAGCGTTCCTGCTCCGCAAGGGAACTACGCCTCCGTCCTTTACGGTCCAGTCCAGGGTCGCTGGACATGTGTGCGGGCGGTCATGGAGGGACGCCTCTATGCAGGTGTCTGGTCCTAAGGAAGGCAGACCTAATGAGGTCCCTTTAAGGACAGGTGGGGTCCTAATGAGGTCCCTTTAAGGACAGGTGGGGTCCTAATGAGGTCCCTTTAAGGACAGCTGGGTCCTAATGAGGTCCCTTTAAGGACAGCCGGGTCCTAATGAGGTCCCTTTAAGGACAGCTGGGTCCTAATGAGGTCCCTTTAAGGACAGCTGGGTCCTAATGAGGTCCCTTTAAGGACAGGTGGGGTCCTAATGAGGTCCCTTTAAGGACAGCTGGGGTCCTAATGAGGTCCCTTTAAAGACAGCTGGGTCCTAATGAGGTCCCTTTAAGGACAGCTGGGTCCTAATGAGGTCCCTTTAAGGACAGCTGGGTCCTAATGAGGTCCCTTTAAGGACAGGTGGGGTCCTAATGAGGTCCCTTTAAGGACAGCTGGGGTCCTAATGAGGTCCCTTTAAAGACAGCTGGGTCCTAATGAGGTCCCTTTAAGGACAGCTGGGGTCCTAATGAGGTCCCTTTAAGGACAGCTGGGTCCTAATGAGGTC